ACTGAATACTGACAGTCAACCAACAATCACTCTAACACTGGCATTTGACCAACAATCACTGAAATACTGACAGTCAACAAACAATCACTGAAATATTGACAGTCAACCAACAGTCACTAAATAGTGACAGACAACCAACAGTCACTAAAATAGTGACAGTCAACCAACAATCACTGAAACACTGGCATTTGACCAACAATCACTGCAACACTGACAGTCAACCAACAATCACTGAAACACTGACAGTCAACGAACAATCACTGGAACACTGACAGTCAACCAACAATCACTGAAATAGTGACAGTCAACCAACAATAACTGAAATAGTGACAGTCAACCAACAATCACTGAAACAGTGACAGTCAACCAACAATCACTGAAACAGTGACAGTCAACCAACAATCACTGAAACAGTGACAGTCAACCAACAATCACTGAAATAGTGACAGTCAACCAACAATCACTGGAACACTGACAGTCAACCAACAATCACCTCAAAACTGACAGTCAACCAACAATCACTGAAACACTGACAGTCAACTAACAATCACTGAAACATTGACAGTCAACCAACAATCACTAAAACACTGACAGTCAACCAACAAACACTGAAACACATGACAGTCAACCAACAATCACTGAAACACTAACAGTCAACCAACAATCACTGGAACACTGACAGTCAACCAAAAATCACTGAAACACTGACAGTCAACCAACAATCACTGAAACACTGACAGTCAACCAACAATCACTGAAACACTGACAGTCAACCAACAATCACTGAAACACTGACAGTCAACCAACAATCACTGAAACACTGACAGTCAACCAACAATCACTGGAACACTGACAGTCAACCAACAATCACTGGAACACTGACAGTCAACCAACAATCACTGGAACACTGACAGTCAACCAACAATCACTGGAACACTGACAGTCAACCAACAATCACTGAATCACTGACAGTCAACCAACAATCACTGAAACACTGATAGTCAACCAACAATCACTGAAACACTGACAGTCAACCAACAATCACTGAAACACTGACAGTCAACCAACAATCACTGAAACACTGACAGTCAACCAACAATAACTGAAACAGTGACAGTCAACCAACAATCACTGAAACACTGACAGTCAACCAACAATCACTGGAACACTGACAGTCAACCAACAATCACTGGAACACTGACAGTCAACCAACAATCACTGGAACACTGACAGTCAACCAACAATCACTGAATCACTGACAGTCAACCAACAATCACTGAAACACTGACAGTCAACCAACAATCACTGAAACACTGACAGTCAACCAACAATCACTGAAACACTTGTTGTTCAACACTTGCTGAGTATTTCATTAATCAACAGTCACTGAGTATTAAGAGGACATCAACAATTATTATATAGTAAGTTTATACTAACAATAATCCAGAGTTATATATTTGCAATCCAACCTGACAGCCAACGAGTGAATCAGCCAGCACACATCAGATATTGAATGTGAAGATAAGGCTGCAAGTCAGGGTGGCAGTGGTGAGCACAGCTGGTGTAGGTAACCATGCAGCTGCAGATCTGAAAGTCTCCACAGTCTCAGCCAGGCTGTAGTCGACCAGTACGTTGGTTCCCTCTAAAAATAGCAAGAAGAAAACCAGAGTAACAGCAATCATTACCATATAGTTGTCACATCTTATGCCTCTCATGTTGTCATCTGTATATTATCTCATGTTGTCATCTGTACATTATCTCATGTTGTCATCTGTACATTATCTCATGTTGTCATCTGTACATTATCCTATGCTTCCCATGCTGTCACCTGTACATTATCTCATGTTCTCATCTGTACATTCTCTCATGTTGTCATCTGTACATTATCTCATGTTGTCATCTGTACATTATCTCATGTTGCCATCTGTACATTATCCCATGTTGTCATCTGTACATTATCCCATGTTGTCATCTGTACATTATCTCATTTTGTCATCTGTACATTATCTCACGTTGTCATCTGTACATTATCTCATGTTGTCATCTGTACTATATCTCATGTTATCATCTGTACAATATCTCATGTTGTCATCTGTACAATATCTCATGTTGTCATCTGTACAATATCTCATGTTGTCATCTGTACAATATCTCATGTTGTCATCTGTACATTATCTCATGTTGTCATCTGTACATAATCTCATGATGTCATCTGTACATTATCTCATTATGTCATCTGTACATTATCTCATGCTGTCATCTGTACATAATCCCATGGTGCCATCTGTACATTATCTCATATTGTCATCTGTATATTATCTAATGTTGTCATCTGTATATTATCACAGGTTTTCATCTGTACATTATTTAATATTGTCATCTGGACATTATCTCAAACTGTCATCTGTACAATATCCCATGTTGTCATCTGTACATTATCTCATGTTGTCATCTGTACATTATCTCATGTTGTCATCTGTACATTATCTCATGTTGTCATTTGTACATTATCTCATGTTGTCATCTGTACATTATCTCATGCTGTCATCTGTACATAATCCCATGGTGTAATCTGTACAATATCTTATGTTGTCATCTGTACATTATCTCATGTTGTTATCTGTACATTATCTCAAGCTGTCATCTGAACATAATCTCATGGTGTCATCAGCACAATATCTTATGTTGTCATCTGTACATTATCTCATGTTGTCATCTGTACATTATCCCATGTTGTCATCTGTACATTATCTCATGTTGTCATCTGTACATTATCCCATGTTGTCATCTGCACATTATCTCATGTTGTCATCTGTACATTATCCCATGTTGTCATCTGTACATTATCTCATGTTGTCATCTGTACATTATCTCATGTTGTCATCTGTACATTATCTCATGCTGTCATCTGTACATAATCCCATGGTGTAATCTGTACAATATCTTATGTTGTCATCTGTACATTATCTCATGCTGTCATCTGTACATAATCTCATGGTGTCATCAGCACAATATCTTATGTTGTCATCTGTACATTATCTCATGTTGTCATCTGTACATTATCCCATGTTGTCATCTGTACATTATCTCATGTTGTCATCTGTACATTATCCCATGTTGTCATCTGCACATTATCTCATGTTGTCATCTGTACATTATCCCATGTTGTCATCTGTACATTATCTCATGCTTCACATGCTGTCATCTGTACATTATCTCATGCATCTGATGCTGTCAGCTCTACATGTGATGATCTTCTAGTTCCAAGCAGACACTAATGAGTTTGTGACAGAGGAGATTGTGTGAGATACCGGTGTCTGACCAGAGACTAATGAGTTGGTGACAGATGGGATTGTGTTACATACCGGTGTCCAACCAGAGACTAATGAGTTGGTGATAGAGGAGATTGTATGACATACCGGTGTCTGACCAAAGACTAATGAGTTGGTGATAGATGGGATTGTATGACATACCGGTGTCTGACCAAAGACTAATAAGTTAGTGATAGATGGGATTGTATGACATACCGGTGTCCGACCAGAGACTAATAAGTTAGTGATAGATGGGATTGTATGACATACCGGTGTCCGACCAGAGACTAATGAGTTGGTGATAGAGGAGATTGTATGACACACCGGTGTCTGACCAAAGACTAATGAGTTGGTGATAGATGGGATTGTATGACATACCGGTGTCTGACCAGAGACTAATGAGTTGGTGATAGATGGGATTGTATGACATACTGGTGTCTGACCAGAGACTAATGAGTTGGTGATAGATGGGATTGTATGACATACCGGTGTCTGACCAGAGACTAATAAGTTGCTGATAGATGGGATTGTATGACATACCGGTGTCCGACCAGAGACTAATGAGTTGGTGATAGATGGGATTGTATGACATACCAGTGTCCGACCAGAGACTAATGAGTTAGTGATAGAGGAGATTGTATGACATACCGGTGTCTGACCAGAGACTAATAAGTTGCTGATAGATGGGATTGTATGACATACCGGTGTCCGACCAGAGACTAATGAGTTGGTGATAGATGGGATTGTATGACATACCGGTGTCTGACCAGAGACTAATGAGTTAGTGATAGAGGAGATTGTATGACATACCGGTGTCTGACCAGAGACTAATGAGTTGGTGATAGATGGGATTGTATGACATACCGGTGTCTGACCAGAGACTAATGAGTTAGTGACAGAGGAGATTGTATGACATACCGGTGTCTGACCAGAGACTAATGAGTTGGTGATAGATGGGATTGTATGACATACCGTCGTCTGACCAGAGACTAATGAGTGGGTGATAGATGGGATTGTATGACATACCGGTGTCTGACCAGAGACTAATGAGTTGGTGATAGATGGGATTGTATGACATACCGGTGTCCGACCATAGACTAATAAGTTGCTGACAGAGGAGATTGTATGACATACTGGTGTCTGACCAGAAGACAATTTTAGCTACAAATGTCATCAACAGTATCAGATTTGCAAAGCAAGCACAGGAAGGTGTAGTCAGGTTTTATTTGCATGAAAGGGAAACACATCAATCCAGAGCTCGCACACAGTTACAGTTACATGAACGATATGTTTTATTATTAGGTGTGTTTGGGAATGATTAGACTGACAGATTGGTCTGGGTGGCCCCACCTGAGGATGTACTGCAAATGCACAAGGCAGAGTTGATCTCTTGCCTTTGAGAGAAGGTGACAAGTCAAATGGAAGATTCTGGAAAACCTGTACCTGCAGAGAATGATGCAGCAGGAAGTGTCTGGGGTTCTGGGTGCCACTCAAGACTGTTTGGAGACTCTTCATTGGCTGTTGAAGAGGGAGACGGAGCTAGTATATGCCTGTTTTGCAAATTCAGAATCTTTACCCAGATAAACCCAGATACAGTCAGAGTGAAGACATAGTGTGATGTCACACAGTGATGGCATACAGCAAAGAGCCACACAGATGACAGACAGACTGATGGCAAAGCAAACTTACCTAAGGTAAAGTAAGTAGTGAGGGACTTCTTCCCATAGCCTCCTTCCCCGAAGGCAGAGACACGGAGAGCGTAGACCACACCAGGCTCAACATCTATGTGAGCGTGGTGAGCGTGGTGGTCATGCACCACATGTTGGCAGGCTGTCCTGTAGTTTTCATTTGCAGGCCAATAGTAGATCTGTACAACAATACAAATGTCAGCTATAGCCTGCTACAGGAAATGTGTGTCTACATACAAATGTCATCTACAACCTGCTACATGACATGTGTGTCAACATACAGAGGTAATCTACAACCTACTGCATCACATGTTTGTATACTAACAGATGTCATCTACAACCTGCTACATGATATGTGTGTCTACATACAGATGTCATCTACAACCTGCTACATGATATGTGTGTCTACATACAGGTATGTCAACATACACAGGTCTCATGTGTGTCAACAAGTCATCTACAACCTGCTACATGACATCTGTGTCAACATACAGAGGTAATCTACAACCTACTGCATCACATGTTTGTATACTAACAGACGCCATCTACAACCTGCTACATGACATGTGTGTCTACATATAGATGTCATCTTTAGCCTGCTACATGACATGTATGACTACAAATAGATGTCAGCTTTAGCCTGCTACATGACATGTATGTCTACAAACAGATGTCAGCTATAGCCTGCTACAGAACATGTATGTCTACATACAGATGTCATCTTTAGCCTGCTACATGACATGTATGTCTACAAATAGATGTCATCTTTAGCCTGCTACATGACATGTATGACTACAAATAGATGTCATCTTTAGCCTGCTACATGACATGTATGTCTACAAATAGATGTCATCTTTAGCCTGCTACATGACATGTATGACTACAAACAGATGTCATCTTTAGCCTGCTACATGACATGTATGTCTACAAACAGATGTCAGCTATAGCCTGCTACAGAACATGTATGTCTACATACAGATGTCATCTTTAGCCTGCTACATGACATGTATGTCTACAAATAGATGTCATCTTTAGCCTGCTACATGACATGTATGTCTACAAACAGATGACATCTTTAGCCTGCTACATGACATGTATGTCTACAAACAGATGTCATCTTTAGCCTGCTACATGACATGTATGTCTACAAACAGATGTCAGCTATAGCCTGCTACAGAACATGTATGTCTACATACAGATGTCATCTTTAGCCTGCTACATGACATGTATGTCTACAAATAGATGTCATCTTTAGCCTGCTACATGACATGTATGTCTACAAATAGATGTCATCTTTAGCCTGCTACATGACATGTATGTCTACAAACAGATGACATCTTTAGCCTGCTACATGACATGTATGTCTACAAATAGATGTCATCTTTAGCCTGCTACATGACATGTATGTCTACAAATAGATGTCATCTTTAGCCTGCTACATGACATGTATGTCTACAAATAGATGTCATCTTTAGCCTGCTACATGACATGTATGTCTACAAACAGATGACATCTTTAGCCTGCTACATGACATGTATGTCTACAAACAGATGTCAGCTATAGCCTGCTACATGACATGTATGTCTACATACAGATGTCATCTTTAGCCTGCTACATGACATGTATGTCTACAAATAGATGTCAGCTATAGCCTGCTATATGACATGTGTGTCAGAGAGCTTATGTGATGGCTTGTGTTGTTCCCGTGACATACTAAACCCAAACATCTACAGAGCACACAACAATCTTTAATGTACAGGGCAATATAAGAGATGATAGCTTGCTTCAAAAGTCGTGGGCACCCCTATCCAAAACAAAGGCCGTGAGGCCTTTACAAATCACATCTCACTTCTGTCACATTAAAATGGATAGTACCCAGGTCCAAACCCACACAGCTTCCATAAGCTCTTTCCTCCGCACTTAAACTCCACGCCAGGATTGTGGAGCGCCTGTCGAGTGTGGGGCGAAGTGAGTGAGGACAGATCAAATCACAACAAGTACAGACCAATCTTAGCTACCAGACTAACTAAAACACCTAACCAGCTACCCCGGACACAAGCAACACAAAAACCTATCTCTGTCGAGCATGCTATAATGTAGAAGTACTGCTACTGTCAGTGGCGCCCGTGGCTATGGCGTTGCGAGTCCGACTCCTAATCCAGCGTACCACGATCGAAACCCACTGCTGGCTGCGTGGATTTTTATTATGGTATGGAGCATCGCAGGTCGACCCAGCCTAAAATGGGTACCAGGATGGGCTGTCCTGGGGAAGTAAAGACAGCCGGCGTAATGCTGACCACATTACCCACCGAGTGCTGATGGTCTGTAAAAATATGGGTGCTCTTCCCATATGCCTGATACGCCTCAAGGCGTAGACAGGGATCTTTACTTCACTTACTGCTACTTTCTAATGAAACACATTGTAACACAGACTATCCATCACTATATTCTAAACACAACACATTGCAATCTGTCAACCTAGCACAAGTCTCTACAGTCAAGGAGTCGGTATAACACAGAAGTACTGTACTGCCTAACAAAACACAATGTGACACAGAGCATCTGTCACTACGGTCTAAACACAAAACATTTGCAATCTAACTGACAAACTATCACAAGTCTCTTCAATCTAACGTCCTGGAAACAAACTCTCCCCCAATCTTTCACTGTCCGCTGGTTTTGTTTCAGTGTGCAGTTCAGTCCCTGTTCTTGCGGGACTCATAGCTTCACAAGCGAACAACTAAGTCAGTTACGATTTTCTACCATCGTCAGTTCATCTCGGTGAACTCCGGGTCATGCCTTAGTCATGTAAGTGCAGACGTGAAACATTCACTACTATCATACTGGCTGTCCAAAACTCACAACAGCCTCTAACAATGTGTGTCAACACACAAGATGTCAGGTAAATCTACTGCCTGCTACATAACATCTGAACCAACAAACTAAAAACAGACACACATCTAAAGACCATCACACATCTAGACACCATTTCAGATATACACACCACCAAAGATGTGGACACCATCATAAATCTAGATACTTATCACAGATCTAGACACACACTCACCACAAACCCATAGATGTTTCCCTCAGGCTGGGAGATATGGATGCCCCTCCACCAGACCTCTACATGATGTCCGCTGGCCGAGTACACTCGGATCTCCTCAGGATACTGTGCTGCAGCTGAGATAAAACATGTGTTCACTAAAACAAACATGTGAGGAAGAAGATACATATGATGGGGACAAATGGGAGTTTATGTACTTAAGGTGGTGGACACTGGGGTACGGATGGTAAGTCAATGATGGGTAAGCTGTGCACATCAAGGGATTGGAAAGTCAATTATGGATGAGCTGTGCACATGAAGGGGCTGGTAAGTCAATGATGGATAAGCTGTGCACATGAAGGGGCTGGTAAGTCAATGATGGGTGAGCTGTGCACATCAAGGGGCTGGTAAGTCAATGATGGATGAGCTGTGCATATGAAGGGGTTGGTAAGTCAATGATGGATGAGCTGTGCACATGAAGGGGTTGGTAAGTCAATGATGGATGAGCCATGCACATGAAGGGGTTGGTAAGTCAATGATGGATGAGCTGTGCACATGAAGGGATTTGTAAATCAATAATGGATGAGCTGTGCACATGACTATCAGTTATTAAATGCACAGACCTTCTCTGAAGGGCTTTTAGTTGATTGATGACCTAAAAGAAATTTGTCATGGAACAGACACAGACACTCATGGTAATGCAAGGTCTCCTGGAAGAAGGTTGTCATGGAATAGACAAAGACACTCATGGTAATACAATGTCTCCTGGAAGAAGGTTGTCATGGAACAGACACAGACACTCATGGTAATGCAAGGTCTCCTGGAAGAAGGTTGTCATGGAATAGACAAAGACACTCATGGTAATACAATGTCTCCTGGAAGAAGGTTGCCATGGAACAGACACAGACACTCACGGTAATGCAAGGTCTCCTGGAGGAAGGTTGTCATGGAACACAGACACTCACGGTAATGCAAGGTCTCCTTGAAGAAGGTTGTCATGGAACAGACACAGACACTCACGGTAATGCAAGGTCTCCTGGAAGAAGGTTGTGATGCAACAGACACAGACACTCATGGTAATGCAATGTCTCCTGGAAGAAGGTTGTCATGGAACAGACACAGACACTCACGGTAATGCAAGGTCTCCTGAAGAAGGTTGTGATGCAACAGACACAGACACTCACGGTAATGCAAGGTCTCCTGAAGAAGGTTGTGATGGAACAGACACAGACACTCACGGTAATGCAAGGTCTCCTGGAAGAAGGTTGTCATGGAACAGACACAGACACTCATGGTAATGCAAGGTCTCCTGGAAGAAGGTTGTCATGGAACAGACACAGACACTCACGGTAATGCAAGGTCTCCTGGAAGAAGGTTGTCATGGAACAGACAAAGACACTCACGGTAATGCAAGGTCTCCTGGAAGAAGGTTGTCATGGAACAGACAAAGACACTCATGGTAATGCAAGGTCTCCTGGAAGAAGGTTGTCATGGAACAGACAAAGACACTCATGGTAATGCAAGGTCTCCTGGAAGAAGGTTGTCATGGAACAGACACAGACACTCACGGTAATGCAAGGTCTCCTGGAAGAAGGTTGTCATGGAACAGACACAGACACTCATGGTAATGCAAGGTCTCCTGAAGAGGTTGCCAGACAAAGGTAATGCAAGGTCATGGGAAGGTTGTCATGGACAGACAAGACACTCATGGTAATGCAATGTCTCCTGGAAGAAGGTTGCCATGGAACAGACAAAGCACTCATGGTAATGCAAGGTCTCCTGGAAGAAGGTTGTCATGGAACAGACACAGACACTCATGGTAATGCAAGGTCTCCTGGAAGAAGGTTGTCATGGAACAGACAAAGCACTCATGGTAATGCAAGGTCTCCTGAAGAAGGTTGTCATGGAATAGACACAGACACTCATGGTAATGCAAGGTCTCCTTGAGGAAGGTTGTCATGGAACAGACAAAGCACTCATGGTAATGCAAGGTCTCCTGAAGAAGGTTGTGATGCAACAGACACAGACACTCATGGTAATGCAAGGTCACCTGGAAGAAGGTTGTCATGGAACAGACGCAGACACTCATGGTAATGCAAGGTCTCCTGAAGAAGGTTGTCATGGAATAGACACAGACACTCACGTTAATGCAAGGTCTCCTGGAGGAAGGTTGTCATGGAACAGACACAGACACTCATGGTAATGCAAGGTCTCCTGGAGAAGGTTGTGATGGAACAGACACAGACACTCACGGTAATGCAAGGTCTCCTGGAAGAAGTACTCGGACATTGGCCCCAACCCTGCCGAGTTGTACACCTGGATGGTGAAGTAGTAGAAGTTGTCACTCTTCAACCCAATCACCAGGCCCTTGTCAACCTGGCCCTCGTGCCGGATAAAATCTTTCCAGTCGGTCATTTGCTCTTCCTCGTGCCAGTAGTTGATCTGTTACAGATGTCAAATGTCACACACAACAATCAATACAAGCGACAGTTTGTGATATAAACACTTGGCCTCATGTAAAATGGCAAGACTGGTAAGTGTAAACACAAGCGACAATGATGCCGTCTGGCTGGTGGCCCAACTGTGATGTACTCATACAGCAAGCATCTCCATAGTGAAACTAAGATCTCATCCCAGGACACACTTGGACAGCTACACAAGATCTTATCCCAGGACACACTTGGACAGCAACACAAGATCTCATCCCAGGACACACTTGGACAGCCTACACAAGATCTCATTCCAGGACACACTTGGACAGCAACACAAGATCTCCTCCCAGGACACACTTGGACAGCCTACACAAGATCTTATCCCAGGACACACTTGGACAGCCTACACAAGATCTCATCCCAGGACACACTTGGACAGCCTACACAAGATCTTATCCCAGGATACACTTGGACAGCCTACACAAGATCTCATCCCAGGACACACTTGGACAGCCTACACAAGATCTCATCCCAGGACACACTTGGACAGCCTACACAAGATCTCATCCCAGGACACACTTGGACAGTCTACACAAGATCTCATCCCAGGACACACTTGGACAGCCTACACAAGATCTCATCCCAGGACACACTTGGACAGCCTACACAAGATCTCATCCCAGGACACACTTGGACAGCCTACACAAGATTTTATCCCAGGACACACTTGGACAGCTACACAAGATCTTATCCCAGGACACACTTGGACAGCCTACACAAGATCTCATCCCAGGACACACTTGGACAGTCGGACTTACCAGAAGTGAAAATGTGTGATAATGTATTGATCAGAACCAACGTTATGACGTTTCTCGGGGTGAGGTTCGATCGCAGCTTGTCATTCAGGGAACACGTTGACCATGTGATAACAAAAGCACGCAAAGGTCTATCTGCAATGAGGATTATGGCTGCTTCCAATATTGAGCAAAGACTACTAATACTTCTATTCTACGGTCTGGTCCTTTCCCCCATTGAATACGCTCTTGCCATCCTCACTGTCAGTGCTACCCAGATTGAACGACTCGAAAAGGTGCAAAATGAAGCCATGCGCATTATTTTGGGATGTACTAGAGACACATCCTGTGGAGCAATGAGGTATCTACTTGACTTTCCAACAATGAACCAAAGGATCAGGATGTGGAGGGCTCGGGCATATCTCAAAATATGCGCTGATAAGAAACACCCACTGCATCAAGCGCTTTTTAGTGAAAAGGGCGACAGACTGAAGAGGGGGAAATCGTGGCTAGGTCGGGCAGAAGATGTTATTAGGCAAATATGCAGCCTAACCGACATCATACCTGGTGCAGAATGGATACCTGTGCCTCAGGCGTTTATTTGTACATTTTCCTGTATTGTCACACTCAACAGGCGATGTAGAGAAGAGAATCCTGTTGCTGTTAATGCAGAGGTCAACGCTCTCATCGGTGAAAATTCAGACGAAGCAGATGCAATAATCTATACAGACGGATCCGTTATACGCCAAAGAAGAAGCGCATGGGCATTTACAGCACACTCAGCGGGAAGAACAGTCAAAGAAGCCAAGGGCGCCTTCTCCATGACAACCAGCAGCATGACGATGGAGGTGATGGCAGTGACACAAGCGCTTGCCTGGCTTGAAACACAAAAATACACCCGCGTGTGTATACTCAGTGATTCAATGAGTATGATCCGGAGGGTTCAGGCAGGTTCAGTGCGAAGACAATGGCTTGAATCATTACAGAAGTCCACTGTTCGTGGAGTCACCTTTATTTTTGTTCCGGGACACGCAGGCGTCAATGGAAATGAAAGAGCTGACAGGTTGGCTGGATCCGCTATCACTACCGACGGTCAGCCTATGGATCATGCTGATATTATCAATGCCCTCAGAGAAATGGGAAGAATAGAGGACTTTGGTGGCAGTGAATCCACATCACTCGCCAGAATGGCAGACTTGGGAATTAAGATCGGCACAGCAAAAAAACAAGACGCACACCAGTTACGCCAGAAGACTTGTTAATCAACATAGAACTGGTACTATTAGCCATCGGACGTTGGGGTTCATACTGAGGGGAGGATCTGAGCACCTATGAACATGTCCGGAGTGCAATGAGGATAACCCAACTAACTAACTAACTAACTAACTAACTAACTAACTAACTAACTAACTTGGACAGCCTACACAAGATCTTATCCCAGGATACACTTGGACAGCCTACACAAGATCTCATCCGAGGACACACTTGACAGCCTTCACAGAATTTCATCCCAGAACACACTTGGACAGCCTACACAAGATCTCATCCCAGGACACACTTGGACAGCCTACACAAGATCTCATCCCAGGACACACTTGGACAGCCTACACAAGATCTCATCCCAAGACACACTTGGACAGCCTACACAAGATCTCATCCCAGGACACACTTGGTCAGTCTACACAAGATCTCATTCCAGGACACACTTGGACAGCCTACACAAGATCTCATCCAGGACACACTTGGACAGCCTACACAAGATCTCATCCAGGACACACTTAGACAGCCTACACAAGATCTTATCCCAGGACACACTTGGACAGTCTACACAAGATCTCATCCAGGACACACTTGGACTGCCTACACAAGATCTTATCCCAGGATACACTTGGACAGCCTACACAAGATCTCATCCAGGACACACTTAGATAGCCTACACAAGATCTCATCCCAGGACACACTTGGACAGCCTACACAAGATCTCATCCCAGGACACACTTGGACAGTCTACACAAGATCTCATCCCAGGACACACTTGGACAGTCCACACAAGATCTCATTCCAGGACACACTTGGACAGTCTACACAAGATCTCTTCCCAGGACACACTTGGACAGTCTACACAAGATCTTATCCCAGGACACACTTGGACAGTCTACACAAGATCTCTTCCCAGGACACACTTGGACAGTCTACACAAGATCTCATCCCAGGACATACTTGGACAGTCTACACAAGATCTTATCCCAGGACATACTTGGACAGTCTACACAAGATCTCTTCCCAGGACACACTTGGACAGTCTACACAAGATCTTATCCCAGGACACACTTGGACAGTCTACACAAGATCTTATCCCAGGACACACTTGGACTGTCTACACAAGATCTCTTCCCAGGACACACTTGGACAGTCTACACAAGATCTTATCCCAGGACACACTTGGACAGTCTACACAAGATCTCTTCCCAGGACACACTTGGACAGTCTACACAAGATCTCATCCCAGGACACACTTGGACAGTCTACACAAGATCTCATCCCAGGACACACTTGGACAGTCTACACAAGATCTTATCCCAGGACATACTTGGACAGCCTACACAAGATCTCATCCCAGGACACACTTGGACAGCCTACACAAGATCTCATCCCAGGACACACTTGGACAGTCTACACAAGATCTCATTCCAGGACACACTTGGACAGCCTACACAAGATCTCATTCCAGGACACACTTGGACAGTCTACACAAGATCTCATCCCAGGACACACTTGGACAGTCTACACAAGATCTTATCCCAGGACACACTTGGACAGTCTACACAAGATCTTATCCCAGGACACACTTGGACAGTCTACACAAGATCTCATCCAGGACACACTTGGACTGCCTACACAAGATCTTATCCCAGGACACACTTGGACAGTCTACACAAGATCTTATCCCAGGACACACTTGGACAGTCTACACAAGATCTCATCCCAGGACACACTTGGACAGCCTACACAAGATCTCATCCCAGGACACACTTGGACAGTCTACACAAGATCTCATCCCAGGACACACTTGGACAGTCTACACAAGATCTCATCCAGGACACACTTGGACTGCCTACACAAGATCTTATCCCAGGACACACTTGGACAGTCTACACAAGATCTCATCCCAGGACACACTTGGACAGCCTACACAAGATCTCATCCAGGACACACTTAGATAGCCTACACAAGATCTCATCCCAGGACACACTTGGACAGCCTACACAAGATCTCATCCCAGGACACACTTGGACAGTCTACACAAGATCTCATCCCAGGACACACTTGGACAGTCTACACAAGATTTCATCCAGGACACACTTACCTGATAGCCTAGGATCTTGCCGCGGGCGTATTCTCTTGTCTTTGGGACTGGTGTCCACCAGACTTCCATGGCTGTGCCGTTGTAGCCTTCTGCTGCCACATTGGTGGCAGTAGCTACTGGTACTGAAACAAGAAAGTAACAATTTAGCAGTGGTTAGTACAAGCAATGGTCAAAGTCATGGTATCACAGACAACACTATAGCAGTGGTCAGTACAAGCAATGGTCAAAGTCATGGTATCACAGACAACCCTATAGCAGTGGTCAGTACAAGCAATGGTCAAAGTCATGGTATCACAGACAACCCTATAGCAGTGGTCAGTACAAGCAATGGTCAAAGTCATGGTATCACAGACAACACTATAGCAGTGGTCGGTACAAGCTATGGTTAAAGTCATGGTATCACAGACAACACTATAGCAGTGGTCAGTACAAGCAATGGTCAAAGTCATGGTATCACAGACAGTTTAGCAGTGGTCAGTAAAAGTAATGGTCAAAGTCACGGTATCACAGACAGTTTCATGGGCACCACTTCTGACAGATGCCTATCTTTCAAGTATCAGGTGTAAGGGCTGGTGTTACAGACATGAACTGATTACTCTGAAGGTCAGCTATGGCAGCAGCAGATACATGAACTGATTACTCTGAAGGTCAGCTATGGCAGCAGCAGATACATGAACTGATTACTCTGAAGGTCAGCTATGGCAGCAGCAGATACATGAACTGATTACTCTGAAGGTCAGCTATGGCAGCAGCAGATATGGAACACTGATTACTCTGAAGGTCAGCTACGGCAGCAGCAGATATGGAACACTGATTACTCTGAAGGTCAGCTATGGCAGCAGCAGATAT